CTTTTTGCAGATAATAAGGGTATAACAACTGTTCTTTAAGTACTTCAGCAATTGTCGTTTTTGACACATGAAGCTGCGCGGCTAATCTTCGAGTGCTTATTGAAGGAGTATCAGCTACAGTATCCAAAATATTTTCCTTCAATTGCACCGTACGTACCATTCTTGTCACACCAGCATCGTACTTGTTTTCCCAAAACTTCCTAAAAATTATTAAAGAAACTCAATAATGTTACCTTATTAACTAGGAATCGCCCACCAGTCTCTCTTAGCCGTAGGTCAAGTCGCTGAAATGTTTTCTCATTTGGAATATTGCGATTAGGATATCTTTCTTCATACAACCTTCTTGCTTCATAAGCATTGCAAGACCATACATAAGATGCATATCTGCATACTCAATAAATGTTTAATCCCATTATCGAATTAAATTTATTCAAAATTCAATAAATTAATATCGGAGTACTAAAAGATCAACGTGTCAACAAGATTTAAAATGCACACGTCAATTCAATTATTCATTTATTTATTTCGCAGGTACCATAGTAACGTTTGTAAAAAAAGTGCAATTTTTAATACTGATAACAGTGATAACAGTTCTATTTCAATGACTTTCGTATCACACTTTGCTACAGACAAAAAAATTGGAAATCATGGTTTCTTTTTAATAAAAATTCTTTTAATATTTTTTTTTTCTCGAAAACTGTTCATTTCATAGAAATAACACAGGAATAAGTTTAGAGACTTTGACAATATATATATTAATAATCGTTTTTAATTTTTACAGTCAATAATAAGTGACAAAATAATAAAATCAATCAAACACAATAAATATAGGGGAGAGTGCCCAACAGTGGGACATCTTTTTTTATAATTGATGTAACATCCTTATTTATTGCGAAAAAATAATCTTTTTAAAACGAACAAATAGCTGTATGTTTATTTACATGTTTTTGACTTAATTTTCAATTATACAGAACAAGCTAATTTTTCATTTGCATAAATGTTGACAGCTATATCTGTTTCACTGTTGGTCCACAGTGCCCATCTGTGAGACAGCTCTTGTCCAACTGTGAGACAGTGGGTATTTTGCACTATACTCAAAGGAAAATAATATTAGGTAATAATAATAATAATAATAATAATAATAATAATAATAATAATAATAATAATTATCCATGAAATACAACTTTTTAATGCTATTTGTAAACAAACATTTATTATTTGTAATTAAGGCACAATTTGGCATTAACAAAAGAACAAAAAAACTAAAGTTCTATCTTATATTTACTAATCTAAAATCAATTTCAAAGGTAAAAGAAGCGTCCACAGGGAGTTGGTGGTGGCATAATAAATTTAATATGTGTTATATTAACCACAGACTCATCAGCAACATCAGGAAAAATGAACTTATTAGTTCCCTATCTTTCTTGTCTCCGGTTTTACGGCAAATTTAACTAGTACAATCATTTTCTTTCGGAATTCTGTGTAGACCTTGAAAATCATCTGGGTTGATTTCTTCAAAAAGCTCATCTCCTGATGATGAATCTAATATTGGTTCTTCTTCCGAAATTTCAGATTCATCAGAAAATACGTATTTTTCCAATTTTTAGTCCTGTACTTAATTTTATCTTCCAACTTGTTAGATGTATCGCTAAACACTTGTTTCTTCACTTCTTTAATCTTTAATCTCTTTAATTTATCTTTCTTACTCTTTTTATTCGCTCTTGCTAAGCTCTTTTCTTCGATTGCTTCCTTTTCAGGAGTATCCGTAGCTATGAGGCTTCTCCCCTTTTTTCGTGTATTACTAGTCTTACGAGCCAATACTTAGGTTGCATTTCATGATTATCATAAATAAGAAGTGATGGATTTTCTTTGAAGCTGTTAGAGTATTTAATGAAATGATTTATAACCTGTACGAATAAATCGGCATTCATCCATCCACTAGGAGTAGCTAGCCCTAATGTACCAGACGGAGCCCCTTGAATCATGTGGTCTTTAAAGTGAGTTCTTGGGAACACGATTGCCGGAGGTAAGTATTGGCCTGTAGCATTGATCATGCAACAAGTGGTAACAAGGGTGCCTCTCTCTCCATTTGTTACCTTGTTTACCTGCTTAACGCCTTTAACAGCTACGTAACACTTTCTGAAATTTTTGAACTGTCACGGCTCCCGTCTCATCTAAGTTAAAAACTCTTCTACCATCAGCAAAACTAGAAGTTCCTGGAGTAAATATCTTGTAAATTTTTATAAAACTGATACATTGTGCCGATTAAAAGAAGTTGCACGAGACAAGCTGCAACCTTCTGGTGTCCTCAGCGACAGTCGTGTATGTCTAAAATTGCGAAACCATTTTAGCCCTGCCATTCGATTGTTACGCCATTTGTCAGGAATTGTCTTTTTGTTTTCAATAGCCATTTCATAGCCAAGTTTTCTACAATCAATAATTGTGAGACCATAAAACATTCTTGAACACTGTATTATATAATCTACCAGAAATTCTTCCTCTTCATCTGTAAATATTTTATTCACCTGATAATTTGCAGCCATTCTAATTTCGCCAACCTCTTCAGCCAGTTTAGCTCTTTTAACATACCTAGCTAAAGTTTGATGTGCAATGTCTTTTGAAGCAGCTACTTTTCTTAGGCTTCCGCCTTCCATAACCAGATTTACTGCTTCTCTCATAGTCTGGTCTGAGCAATTACCAATTTTTCGTTTGCTTGAATTCATTGTAATCCGAAATATTAAAACACAACCCTATAAAATACATAATTTAAGTATATGTCCAACAGTGAGACATGTCTTACTGTTGTGCAACACATTTTGTTTCACTGTTGGACACTGATGCTGTCAAATGGCTTTTTTAAATAAAAACAATCAAACAAATATACGCTTAAATAAAAACTCAGTAGCTAAACATACCTCTGACGCAATCCGATTTTGAAAACACCTTCACAATTGTCTTTGAATAAAAAACTAAGAGAGTGGCAAAAATTTACTTTTGAGACGAAAAAACACGATTCGGACTCGTGTCTACTTCTCGTCACAGCTTTGCGTGTACAGTTCATCAAATTTCTAGAGGCTTTCGACGGCTAGACAGAGAAAGCACTACTGACAGGCATCCCGACGGATTTACGCGCATCAAGTATTTCACTATTTTATTCAGACGTAAATGTCAGATGTAAATTTCGCTAAAACATTTCTTTTATTTTCGTTTGTGTTTTTTGCTCATTACAGTTTAATAGAACCTAAGTATGGAGTTTAATAACAAATTAAGAGGCCGCGTGATTAACAGTCAATCTCGCGAAATAATAGCCAATGTTATAGAGTTTATGAGAAGAGAAGGAAACTTTAATTCACCTTCAATACCATTTAAAAATGTAAATGATCGTGTTGCTGCAGCCACAGGAGTATCTAAAAACACTGTCGTCCGCATTTCTGGAGAGAGAAAAAGAATCGATAACCGTGAGATATCGGAATTTTCATCACCAAGAAAAACCATTAAAAAACCAAAAACAGTTAATGATATAGATGAAGCTGCACAAGAATCAAATTTTATTTTTTTATTATTAGATAGCTATTTTTGTTTCTGAGTTGTGTTCATTTACAGGCTCAATTTTTTTCCGTTTCTCCTTTTTGATTTTATATGGGGTTTCAAGTTGTTTTTGACTTATTTCGACGTAAATCACAACAACACACTTTTTTAATAAAGCAAACAAGTGTTAAGAGGTATATGTACGTGTAAACTACAATTACAAAAAATTGATATGAAACCCATGAAACCACCAACAAAAATGTAAAGCTAGCTTCAGTACTAGAACATGGTGTCATTCGTCGAGATAATTTATCGTTTTGTTTAATAGATCAAGAAATGTAAATATTCCCGTTATTTTTTATAAAATTATAAGAGAAATAAATTTTTTTCTAAATAGTATAGTTTATTATTTTGTAGAAAAACAAAATTTCGAAAATTTTAGTAATGTTTCAGAAACAACCGTTATTAATAATAGGTACCATTTTCCTTAATAAGGTAGAAATAAAATATAAACTATTTCCACGATTTACAAAGGCCTACAAAAAAATTATAGGTATTTTCCGCTATCCTATAAAATTTATATTTTCTGACTCAATTTCAAAAGGTTGAAGGAATTCCAAAACACCTTTTATGGCATAATAATTATTTTCAATTCTACATACTATCTTTAGCTGCTTTTAAAAACGTTCTAAGAAAGTCCAATCAGACCAATTTAATCCCTAAACTATTCCACACTTTTAAAATTTAATTACCTAAAAATATTAAAAACTATTTAAAATAACTTGTTTAGCAGACTGTACAATAGCTCTTAGTCACACGTAGCGCGTTCTCTGTCTGGGCGTCGAACACCTCTAGAAATTTGATGAACTGTACTAGCTTAAAAGATCTGCTTATCAAGCGTAAGTTTGCTGGCTAGTGTCGACATCAATCCGTCACGTGATACGAGAGGGAAGTTAAATGTCTCACTGTAGGACCTGCCCCACTGTTGGGCACTCTCCCCTTCATGGTGAATAATGGAGAATTATACTGGGCAGTTTCAACACATTTTATCGACAATGAAGAAGAGTATCTTTTCTTTAGCTTAATGTTCAAGGAATCGAAATTTATTTTTTTTAACTCCTTATTATACAGGGTGTTAAAAATGTAAGCATTAAAATGTACAACCTAGTCCGCCCCTGGTAAACTAAACAAGCTAATTATGTTTTAAGGGCAGTATTTTAAGAGATTCTTACTACTGTTTATCATATTAAATTTTCATTAAATTAAATTATGTAGTTTGAAAGTTATTCAAGAAAAATTGATTTCCAGTGACGTCCTTTTGGAGGCCGTATCTCCGTAGGGAGGGCCGCTAGGAAAAGAACTTGTCATCTTATTTTTTAATGTTCTATCTGAATCCGTGAGACCTCCCACATTGTATATTATTTTTTAAGTCTATATAATTTGGTAAATTTTTAATATTAAAATATTTTTAGAACCGATGACACTGAAACAGTTCAACTGACAGAACAAATTGTGAATCCTGGTCAGGAAAAGACTGGTCCTCAAGACTTTGAACTACGCAAAGTCCTTGGCAAAGGAGGTTATGGAAAAGTGTTTCAAGTTAGAAAAATTACTGGCAAAGACACCAATACTGTTTTTGCTATGAAGGTACTCCGTAAAGCTTCCATAGTTAGAAATCAAAAAGATACTGCCCACACAAAAGCAGAAAGAAATATTTTAGAAGAAGTTAAGGTAAGCTTTTATTGTTAAAAACAATATATAAACAGTGGGTTTTATTTCTCATGATATTTTCATTAGGTCTATTGTATTCTCTATATTAAGTTTTTTTAAGATAGTGACTATTAAATAACATTAATCTTAAGAAAGAATTAAATTATTATCCAAATCAATTCATTTCAATTTAAATATTTATGGTTTTATTTTGATGGAAGAAAACAGTAATAGTCTGGGAATGCTATTTAAACCATCTGGATATATTTAGTTAGTCTGAGAATTTAAAAATTTCTGAAAAATGTTGTATCTATTGATAACCTAGAATCATGTTGAACATACAATAACTTATTTAAAAATAGTTTATTGAGCAATTATTGGTATAAACATTAATAAGATCTTATTAAGTAAATATGGTAAATAAATCAAAATTAATCAAAGTGAAGTTAATTACAAATTAGATTTGTAAATATGATAATAGTTTGGTAGTTAACTTTTTTTTATTGATATTGCAGTTTGTTGCTATGGAGGTTCAGTTACAGTTATTATACTATATGTACTTATTCAATATTTATAAAGTTGAGTTGGTATTACGAACGTAAATATTCGTGGAACAGAAACAAAAGTCTGGCTAATTGGTTCCTACCACAGCCATTCAACTAAGTAAAAAAAACGTAATTATTAGTCTGTCAGTGGTTTTGGACCATAGAAAGACAGACCATATGTTTAAGAATGTACCTCTCTTTGATTTTTAGGTGTACATTTAGGTTAAATAGGTATGACAATGTAATGATGAGATTTACTAGGACAGACATAATTTTATAATTCAATTCAATCACCATAAAACCATACTGTCAAAGCCCCTTGTTGTTTTTCATGAGTTCTGTTTTAAAGTTGGTAGCTTCCAGGAAGATATATCTAAATGTTTCAAGCCTTATTCTTTCTAAAGAGCACTATTTACATCATACATCACACTGTGGTTTCATCTTCCTCATTGCAGAATTGAGAGTGTTGGGTCAGTTGCATATAGATATTCCTTATTTTATTTCTAGAAAAAAATAATTTTTTGTCAAAGAGGCCATTCAAAATTTTTGCACAAGTGTTCATTCATAAAAGGGTGATTTATAAAGTAATATTAATTTTAATATTATTAGTCAGTCTACCTGTTTTGTTTATCTAGTTTTAGATCAATTTTTACTGTGTCCTTTGTAATGAATCAGTTCATATTTTGGAAGATGTCTTCTTTTTCATTGTTTTCTGATGTATTTGATCATGGGTGCACTTAATTTATACCAAATATATGGACATAAATGTAAACTTTTTCAGAAAATATGATTCTAAAACTTAGTGTGTGACTTTAAACATAAAAAACACTTACCTAAATTTAAAATGCATCCCTTAGTTGTGGGACAGGTTAAAAAAATATGAAAAATTGCTTGCATCTAAAGTGCTTTTTCTTTGTATATTACACAAAAATGTTATTTAAAAAAGTTGTTTAGAATTGAAGGAAGTTTCCAAATAGGAAGCTAACATTGTGTTAGTTAACATTACTTGAATTAAAAGTGTTGAAACTCCCTTGGTGTCATTTTACTATTGTTTGTTCAAAAAAAAAAAAAAATGTTTGGTCAGAAGACACATTTTGTAAATTATTCAAGAAGAAATCTTAAAAATTAAATTTAAGGTATATTGATATCCTCTCCATTTCAATGTTTTCTAATGCAATGTTTTCTTCTTCCCAGAATATATACCAGCCACCTTTCTCGCTTTAAAATAATGCTAATGTAATAATTCGCCCCCTTAGTGCAACAACTAGATAACTCGAAATTTATGCATTTTGAGTTATCCAGTTTAATCTGTCCTATTTTTCATGCTCTTTTCAATGCAACAACTGGATATCATGTACGAGCAACCAAACCTATTTTTGAAGAGTGACTAAAAACAGATTACTCCTAATATATACATTTTATAACTAGAGATCTTAAGATATCTAGTTTTAGCACTGGTATTATTGAGTTATCTGCTGGCACCTTCTTGGTCGCTATGAGATATCTAGTTGTGTGCTTGAAACAACAGGTTTGTTTCTGTGCTGCTAAATTGTTTTTACGGTGTCTTTTTAAAAGCCATAACTTAGTTAGTGGGCAGAAAATATGCTGGTTGAACTTTTCAAAATCGACGCCATTTATTATTAATTTTACAGAAGATGTTGATGGGGAGTTTAGACCTCTAAATTTTAAACGTAAAACACGAATGTCGTCTTCAAATAATACCCAAGAGCCTTTGAATTAAAGTCAACTACAACTTAAAAAAAAATATGGCGACCTTATGTCTGTTCAAATTGAATCCTCCGGCCCTCCCTAGCGAGTATAAAGCATTTTTGAAAGTCTTCCAGTCCAAGGAGACCAACGTAAACGGCCTTAAAACATGGAAGATTCCCAAACCGATATTATTGATATTGACACTTAAGGAGGTCCTTTCGCCACCAATGTTAAATAAAAAATATTAGATTATGATTAAAATTAATTTTTTTCTAATAGTTGAAGTCCTTATTTATCTAATAGTGAACTTTTAACTATACCTTACCGTGCAAATTTTTGAGAAAAAAAAATTTAAATATGAGTATTTGTATAGTGTCTTACGAGAAAGTAAGACTTCAACAACAATTTTAGAATTATAATTAAGTATACTATTATTTATTGATTAGATGGAGTAGAAAAAACTAAAAATAAGGTTTTTGAAATATTTAGGTTTTGTTTTTTACAATAAAATATATGGGTTACCGTGGAATTTATTGAGAAATTAATATTAAATAATCACAAAACATTTTCAACTAGGTTACTTGAATTTTTTTTTAATATTAATTTCTCAATAAAATCCACTGTAACCTATATATTTTATTGTAAAAAACAAAACCTAAATATTTCAAAAACCTTATTTTTAGTTTTTTTCTACTCCATCTAATCAATAAATAATAGTATAATTCGAGAATTGTTGTTGAGGTCTTACTTTCTCGTAAGACACTGTACAAATACTCACATTTAAAAAAAAAAATTCTCAAAAATTTGCACGGTAAGGTATAGTTAAAAGTTCACTATTAGATAAACAAGGACTTCAACTATTAGAAAAAAAAATAAATTTTAGTCATAATCTAATATTTTTTAAAAATACAGGGTGATCCATTAGTGTGAAAAAGTCCAATATCTCCGCCATTATTAGAGATATAAAAAAATATTTTCACAGAACGGTCTTCAGCGTTAAAGTACAAATTTTAAAATTATTTTTGAATATACAGGGTGTTTAATAACTTCTCTCAGGAACCAACTTATGTTCTTTTTAATGGATCACCCTGTATTTTATTTTATATTTGAATTACCCTCGCTTTTCCCATTCTAAAAATATAAATTATTATTGGTTTATACAGGGTATTTTGCAGGATATAATCAGTTTTGTATGAAAATCGTATTGAATTCAATGAATGCAAAAGAAACAATTGACAACCAATTTTTTTTTCTACCACAATTTTTCGATCATGGTCAAATTTTATCCGGATACACTACTTTTTTCAATTCGCATTAAACCTGTACAGGGTGAGTCAAAACACAAATAACATAATTTTTTCAATTTTTTTAAATGGCTCGCTCTGTATTTTTTATCATCGTTCAAAAGTATCCTAATTATACTTTAATTTGCATTCCCTTATACCAAAAGTTAATAGTTTTTAGAGATTTTTAAATTTTAGTGGTAAAAACGATAATTCAGAAAATAATTGATTGGAAATAAATTTTATTTATCATTAGTAATTAATTGAATTTAACCTCAAGTAATTATTTATTATCGACTAAGTAAGTTTCTGACAATATGTAATGTCACTTATACATTTATTAAAAAAAAAAAAATAATAATAATAATAAACATTGCAACCACAAACTACAAATGAAACCTACTAAATTTTTTGTTTATTAAATTTTTTTTTAAGTTGGCTTTGAAAACCCCCAATACTGACAGTTTGTTATTATTAATGTCATTAGTGTTTCATTTATTTGTTTTCTACAAAGTCTCGCCATTTTTTTAATATGAATTATAGTCGTGAAGAATTAGTTGATATGATATGGATTTTGGAAGAATGCAATAAAAACTCTTTATTAGCAACTAGAGTTTATAAAGAACGATTTCCAGAACGTAGAACGTCAAATAAAACGTTCGAAAAACTGATGGAACGATTTAACCGAACAGGGCCAGTTTCATATTAGAAAATTGATAGAACAAAAACTGTTATTAAAGAGGAAAATGAACTAAATGTTTTGTTAGCAGTCATTGGCGGCGGAAGGGGGAGCTCAGATTTTAAGTTCACTCTACTCTAGCAAAGTAAACCGATCAGCAAAAAGAAAAATATGGTTTTAATTTTTTTAATTACAAAATAGGGTTAATTCCTTTTATCACTTTTACCCTGCCGAAGCGAGCCTGATAGTGATGGGCGATATTTCACAAACTGTTACTTTTTCACTGATACTAAAAAGTAGCAGGTAAGGTAGGTATGTTACTAAAGTCGTTACCAAATTGTGACTGTACAAAAAAGAAATACCTTAGCCACGACATTCAAAACGAAATAATTTTAAAAAGAAAAATAAATGAAATTCATCAGTGTGGACAATATTCATTAATGGTTGATGAGGCTCGTTGCTACAAAAGTAAACAGTTATCTGTTGTGGTCCATACGCCAAAGGTTTGAACATAGAAGATTGGTTTTTGCGATTTATTGATTGTTCTTCATGTCGAGATATTGCTGGTCTAGAAAATTTAATCAAGGATTTTCTACAAGCCTTGAAATTTAAGCCCCGATTGTTGCTCAATCGTATGATGGTGCCAGTGTTATGGCTGAACAAAATGCAGGATTGCAAGCAAAAATAAAAAAGTCTCACCCACAAGCAATTTACATGCACTGCATGGCACACAAATACTTTTTGGACATGGCCCTTCTATTGGCCTGACAAAGTCGGTAGTGACAGACCTAATTAAAGTTATCC